TGTGACGGGGATAAACACAAAAGTGACAAGCAAAACATGGCAGTTTCGTACTGTTGTGAAATAGACGTGTATATTTTAAAATAATGTGTCCTAGCACGTAAATTTTCATGTACCGTCCTTTCTTTTATTATATTTATTCATTTATTTATACTTTAATAATAATAATAATAATAATAATAATAATAATTTATATAAAACTCGCAAAATTTCATTTTAATATTGATGGGCTTTTCAAGCCGGGAGTCTTTTTATTTGTCATTTATTTGTTTATCTATTTATTTTTCAATGTATCTATTTCTGCGACGGGTTAATATGGCATTACGTGCTTCTAAACCTATCAACATTTTCAGCGTTTGATAATTAATAGATATACATCGTGCATCATACTGAAATAGCTCATGTCGTATTTAGTTTGAATTATGGTAAGTGGTTTGTAAAACAATGATAAATCTGCTATACACTTAGACAGTTATCAAACAACTAAATCTAACCTATATATCCATACTTAGATTCTCAACGTAACAAAACTTATTCTACTGTAATAAATCTCATTCCATCGTATTTTGGCCATGTTACACATCCACAGTATACTCGTTGGCGCAAATATTGGAAAATGACTGGTACCGAAATAAATAAATAAATAAATAAATAAATAAATAAATAAATAAATAAATAAAAACTACATTAAATAATATGACAAATATTTCATCACAGTGCTCTCTCGGTTGCCAGTGACATTATATTGTATATTCCCATCCACTGCCTACTTTACCCAGTTGCTTCAGGTAGGTAATTGGAAATCTGTTTAGAAGTAACTGGGTCTTAATTTGCAGCTGTGATGGTAAAGATATTACTTCACCGCATATTGTTTGCGCCAGCTGTTTTTGCTTTGTGTAAATTCCCCTTGGGGAATGGGATCCACCGACGCATAATGATGAAAAAACAAAAAAGCTGGGGCAGCCCATCGATTGAATACCACATTAACTGTTCACGTGCCAGAGTAGATCGGCTCAGATCATGTGGAAAATACAGATATACATTTACCGGAGATTCTTATTGAATTTCACAGCAATAATGTTAACAGCTATATTTGGAAGTTCACAATATTCAGTATGGTAGAAGAAGGGATTTTAGAACGCCCACTCAAACGCGCTTGTGTAATTTAAGCAAAGCAATTGTGTCAGACCGAAAAGTGACATTTGCCTGTCTTCTGGATTACGTTGGAGATTATAACTTCGTATTAAAATTACGATGGAATATTGGAACGCCCAAATACTCATGACGATTGCATGTGAAGAAATGTTTGATACTGTTTTGTTATTGTTGATAATTGTTTTGGAAGGAACATATTCATGACTGTCAAAGGTTGTCGACGTAACGCCTCTGGTAAATTGGGATTTTATGCAATTGCTGCTTGGCGGAAATTGGTATTGCTTTTGCTAAATCAAGACCAAGGAAAGCGTCCAAAGAGTGCAATGTTATGATTTAAGAATACAGTGTAGTCAGATAATAAATGCACTGTATTTGAAAACATATGAAAAATGAAACCCATGATTACGCTTAAGTCCCTGCATGGACAAATATGAATAGAAGTGAGACCAAGTGTTAACCTCAGTTGACCGGTAATGATCTGCTGTTGTCTGCATTATAATCACCGTATTCAGTGTCCGTCTTCTATCATGAGTTTGGGTTTACATAATTTGAGCTTAGGTTTGAAGATATATTTTATCCAAAATTTCCTTCAACGAATTCGCCATGACAAGAATGGTAGTCCGCTAGGAACCGTATGTGTACATTACTTTGTATCAGTACAGATGACGTTCGTCCCATATACTAACCCCAATACTACGAACAACCCTAACCTATACTTATCATATAGGACCCCAGTCTACCATTCTTAAGACTACCATTCCTGTCACCACGGTTAACATATTTTTGCAGCGCCAAAGATGAGAAAGGAGCTGAATTCTTACAATCAGAACATCGTTAAAGTACAGCATGTGCTATATCCGCCCTCAACAGACACCCCGGCGTCATTCCCCGCGTTAAATTGGATAATCAGAAAAAGACACTTAGTCCCAGGAACCCATTATGATTTGATGAGGAGATACGAAATCTCTATAAATTCTGAGAATTCTGGCATGTGTCAATGTAAAAATGTGTTCAGAAGACCTATTATTTTACATTAGTAAAAACCTATGTCTTACAGGTTTAAGTATTTCTACGATGTTTGCATATCTTATCGTGTGTCTAAGCATGTCCGGGATGCTCGTCTCTGGATTCTCTAAAAGTGCTGCGTTACACGGACGTCAAAATACCTTAAGGGAAAAACAACAGCACAGATTGCCGTGGACCAGAACGTTAAATCACTTAGATTGACCAGGTTGTAATCCCAATGCACAAATGCCGTTTATTGGAATGGAGAACATTTTTTGTACTCGTGTTAAAACTCAGTTATCAGATCCATTACAAGTGAAATGTGAAAATGTTTCTCTTATTA